AGTAAAACATTTTTCAAACTGTGTTACAAATACGACTTAGGTCCACATGATGCTTTGCTAAAAATTAGTGCATTCAGTAGTCTGGTAAGGTTGGGAAAAGGTGCATATCCCCATCTTGAAGAACCATGATTCACATTAGCACATTTGATGTTCTATGAAGTCCTGCAGTAAGGAATTTGGTTAAGTTTAGTTCACTGCTTTCCAAGTATATTTGACTTTAGAACCGTTTCTTTCCCTTCCTCCCTCCCTCCCTCCCTCCTTTCTTTCTTTCTTTTTCTTTCTCTCTCTCTTTCTTTCTTTCTTTTTCTTTTGGAGAGATTTTTGCTATAGGGTGCATGTGCTCGCCCAAAAGACAGTGAGACAGAAAGTGAGAAATCACCCCCCAGGAGTGGATGGCCACGCTACATTCCCTCTTCCTCCATTCTCTTCTTGGGATCTTGAGCACGCACACACATGCTCCCGGTGTGAGTTTAAGCCACTGGGTCTGGGACTTGAATCACGGTCAACCACATGGGAAGGCAGTGGCATAGCCATTTTGCCATCTACAGGTCCCGAGAACCTTTTCTTTTTTTATGTAATCTGTGACCTGTTACTCTTTGAGGAATTGAAGGTCTATTGGACATGTGTTAGAAGGATGGGTTCTAATACCAGTTCCTCTTTTTCCACTTGAGAAAGCTGAGGTCCAAAGCAGTGACGTTATTTGCCACTATCACAAAAATCACAGATGGTGAAACTGGGAATAAAAGCTAAGACATTCAGAGTTCTTTCTCTTCCTTGCATGCCCTCATCGAAAGCAAATTTTTTTCTTCAAGTCTCTAGGCATCATTAAGACAAAAGTTGTTAAGAGAGAATTTACTCAAGAGAAATCATACTTTTCCAAAATCCTACCTACATGAAAAGATTCTTTTACCCAGGGTGCCCCATAACCAACATTACCACAAGTGACAAATGGAGAGAAGAAAGAAATAGTCAATAACTCAGCACGTTTTCTCCCAAATAAGCAATGTTTTGGGATCTGCTGGAATATTCCTGGACCCTTCATCATTCTGTTTACTAAGTCATGGGCCATCAGGAAATAACACAAAGTATATTTGTTATCAATTGCTGCAAAACTAGTACTCTAAAACCTAGTGACTTCACTACCTTACGTGATTTCTATGGGACTGTGAGTGGTTTAGGCAGGTGGTTCTGGTGCAGAGATTCTCATGAGCGTGTGGTCACAACGTCAGCCAGGGATGCAGCCATCAACAGATTTAACTGGGGCTAGGCAATCTGCTCTCAAGGTAACTCACTCATGAGCCTGGAAATTTCATTTTGGCTGGTGGTAGGAGGCTTCAGTTCCTTTTCATATGGAGCAAGAAAGAAGCCTCAGTCTCTTATATGGCCCAGTCTCAGAAGTCACACACCATCACTCTGTCATAGTCTATAATTTAGAAGTGGGTTCATGCTCAAGGAGAGGAGAGCTAGAAAAGGGAGACGTGTCGAAGAATTTGTGAACATATTTTAAAACCATAACACCAACAAAGAGTTGCAAGGAAGAGGATGCTAATGAACAACCTCCTAACAAAAACAAAAACAAAAACCAAGAAACACTACTGAAATAAAAATCTCTTAGGATAAGAACAAATGATAATTTGAAACTCTGAAAGAGACCAGGAATTTAAATTCATATGGGACCTGAATTCCCAACTTGAATCATTGGCACAGACATCCTTAAAATTGCAATAAAAAACTTCTAAATAAGGGACCACAGTTAGCGTAATGGCTATGTCACTGGGACTCCCATGTAGTCAACCATAGTTTGCGTCCTGGACCCGGTGCTTAAAACTCACACCAGGCGCATGTGCCTGCATGCCCAAGATCCTGAGAGGAGAATGGAGAAGAAAGGATTGCAGTGTGTCCATCCCCCCTGGGAGGTGATTTCTCGCTTTCTGTCTCTCTGTCTCTCTGTCTCTCTCTGTCTGTCTGGCGAGCGCACGCGCCCTATAGCAAAAACTTCTAAACAAAAGAACTTCTATCGCTGGGACTATGACTAGGAGAAGGAATGAAGGATTTGAATCAAGGTAAGCAATTCAGAGAGCATATCCAGTGTTTCGACTTGAATCCTTCCAAGTTAACTTTTCTTTTCATAAGCCTTTGAATTCTCTAAGTGTTGCAATATCTCAACATGGCCAAGAGGGTCAAATTCCAGTTCTAGTCTTTACATCTTTTTTCTCCTTCTTCTTAAGGTTTAGATTCATTTCTGTATGCTGCCTGACAACAAGATATCATTATCTAATAGCCTAAGAATTTATTTCCAAATAGTTGTTGACAGATTCTGAAAGTCTCAGAAAGATCATACAGATCATATTTCCTCCTTTAGTCAAGATTTTTTTTTAACTAAAAAAAAAAAAGACTACAATCCTCCAAAGAACTTTCCTTTGTGGTACCTGAGGTATCCAGTCAATCACCAAATGGATTTATGATAAGGAGAAGAGGTTTTCTCAGACACATATGCTTGGGAGCTAAACAGAAAACAGATGCAGATAAATTCAGGAATCACAAAAGTAGGATTGAAAGGGCTGGATCGAGGCTACATCTAGATAGTCGCATGGATTAAGGTAGACTTAGTTAGAAAAATGTCCCAGAAAAGATGAATTTAAAGGTATTGTAAATAATTGGAGGACAATTTGAGCAAAGGTTTAGAAGAAAAGAAGGAAGACTAAATGTTTGGGCTATCATAGAAATGAGAGAGGATGAGTTGGAGTATAGCAGAAGATTAGACTGGAGGGGAGAGTGTAGAGATGGTGATCAAGGTGAATTTGAGAGTTTGGTGTGGTTGGAACAATCTTTTGCAAGAGGAAGAAGCTTTTTCAGTGTACTGCTTCTGAAGCCACACCTAACCAAACCAATACAAAAAGCCCTTTCTCATTAATAGACACTCTTAGAAGGCTAGACCTGTGCTATG